TGGCTTGACGATTGGGATTACACATATGCGGAGCCTGTTAACCAATAATTTTCTTCTTTTTAGTCTTGACTAACTTAGACATTTAGGAACATTTCTCCTGTCTAACGAGGTTGTTGGTCGGTTAGCTGGAGCAATGGCTCGATCTTTTCAATCAGACCAGCCTGTGTAGCGTTATAACCATCCCTTGCCACATAAACTGGAGGTCGGTGATGACTTCGATCTGTGGTCGGGCAAGGTGCGTCGATAAGTAGACTTGATGAGCGTGCCTCACCTGAATTCATTTGCCATTGATTGTGTTGGACGGTCACTAGAAATGCGCACAATTGGTGTGGATTATGCGTATATGCCCTTGAGTATCCTTCTGATTACTCTAGGAGTACGTATAGTGCCACCAGTGCCTCATATTGAATCGCCGAAGAGACTCAACGAGCGCAACTAGAAACAAGGTGAGTCCATCAACTGGTTCATCTTGCGTCTCTGCAAGCTTGCTCGTCAAGCTATGCAGGACAAGGCGTATTCAGAAGCTGAAGACACTGTCTTTTGCAAGTTTCTGCAGGGTGTCGACTTCCGTCACAGGATGGATTTTAACTTGCACGCCCTAGCATCCATGTAAGAAGGTGAAAACAGGGCACGCTTACTGGAAAGCTTGGAAGAACCAAGAACCACATGCCCACGAGTCAACGCAGTCAGATATCGACACAGAACAACAAAATACTCACAGAAGCTCATATCACAGTGGAAAGGGCGTCCACAGTCACAATCTTCTTCAAGAAAAGATTGGTATTGCTACAGACAGTCTGGTGAGCTTGTTAGGAATTGTAGGCACAACACAAAGAGTCGCATATCGGTATAAACTGTATACCTTCGATTAAACTAGTCGCTGTCACTTCCCCTCCGAAAGTTGCAGAATTTATATGGGACAAAAAGTGTGTTATGTTAGTTGACTCAGGAGAAACTTGTTCTGTCATACATTCCTCATGTGTCTCAGGGACTTTTAGGCCTACAAAAGGGACTCATAAGTTGTGGCTTACGACAGCCAGTGGAGATTGCATGCAATCCCAGGGACTGACCCTACTACCTCCTAATTTAGGGACACTATCACTTCAGCACTCTTTCATCGTGTCTAACCAGGTGCCGTGGCAAGTAATCCTAGGGGTCGACCTCCTAGAAAAGCTGTCCGGGATAATAGATTGTAGCCAGACTTGTCCGTTCATCCTGGATACAGATGCTAGCGACACTGGTATCGGGGCTGCTTGGTCTCAAAATGATGCATATGGAGCAGGAAAGGTGGTAGCCTATGCAAGTCGAGTACTTAACAAGCGTGAAAAAATTACTGCACCAAGCGGGAAGAAATGCTGGCACTGGTCAGTTTCGTTAAACACTTTAGAGCATATCTTTTCGGCAGACATTTCGTAGTATTGACCCATCACAAAGCTACATAACTTAGAAGAAGCTGAGGGCCAGGTTGCTAGATGGGAAGAACACCTGCAAGAATATGGCTGAGAATATAAGCACAGACCTGAGAGAAATCATGGAAATGCATATGCATTGCCAAGAAAACCTATCAGATATCACGGTGACTGCCCATCATGCAGTGGAGCACAAGCTTCCCTGCTCCAACTAGAGGCTCATAGTTCATATTGTTGGCCCAAAATTCAGTCTTCAAACCCTGAACTGGCTTGATTTACTAAGGTGTTCGAAGTGGAAACGAACGACTGACAGCTCAGGGAGTAAGTAAGCTTGGATGAGAAACTCAGTGTTTGTGGTCTATGTGGGATAATCTGAAAATTGTCGATAACATACTTTGCTACCAACATTGACCCACTTATACTTGCCAAGTTGTGGCTCCACAGTTTTCACTACCCATGGAACTGTTGTAATCACACCAGCAGTTATGCCACGCAGGTTCAGGAAAAATGATACAAGCGGCTAAAAGGCGTTATTAGTGGCCTCATCAGAGGGAGGACATCGTAGATTTCTGACTTCTGTGAGGTATGCCAAACAATTAAGGCTCCGCACAAATATAGTAAGGCACCCTTAGAGCCCAAAGTAACTGACCATGCAAATGACTTAGTGCAGATAGACTTAGTTGGGCATCCACCATTAATTTTCAGAAATAATAACCATATTTTAATCATGGTAGACCATTTTACCAAATGATGCGGGGATATCGCGATTCCCAATCACAAGCATCCCAAACTGTTTGTACTGGAAGCAACAGACTTCGACCTTTGCCTACTATGGACTATTTGATCTACGAAAATACGATTGGTTATTTTTTGTGACTTTGTTGTAGATGACTAAGTAATTGTTATACATTGTATGTCAGTTGCCCAGATCACAAAGATCCTAGACCTATAGCTGATTTCGAAAGACTTCCTAACACCTAGAATATTACGCATAGCAGCAGACACGAAACAACGGAGGACGGTAAGGTAATACGATTGTTTATTCTTCCACCGATAACGAAGCAGAATTACAATTTCTTATTTGTACTGTCTGTGAATAAACATTGATGTAATAAAATACTACAGTAATACTTCTGATCGTATTTATTCAGTTTAGCAAGTGTAACATTCTTGTCTCCCGCCAAACGGGGACGAATTCGAATAAACAAGTGATTCAGTGTTCACCAATACTGATATTTTATTTTATTGGTAGGAGTCATACCAGTTGTGTAACGATCACAAAGGTACAATGGAATGATATTATCTCACTGTGTCTGTCTGCTTATCACTTTTAAACTTATCAAGAGGACTAACTGTTTCAGTATTTGTATTTGTTTACCGTATGTCAGAGTAAATCTTCATCTTTTTTTCAAGGCATCGTCAACAGAACTCAGTACTTCATCAACTTTACTTTGAAATAAACTAAGCTCCTAGAATCACGCAATCCAAATGAACACAGTATTTCATGAGGTTGATTGATGATTGTAGACGTTTTAATTCAGTTTGAACTTCCCTGTTGATCGATCAGACCACGAAGTGTTCGCCCTCAGTTTGACATGCTGGGTTCTTTCGCGGATGCTTCGATGCTGTCTGATTATCTAGCTTGAAATAAATTGGTGGATGTTGGTTAGAAGTTTAGTCCAGGATAAGGCGCATTCTCCCTGACTTGGTACTTGTCAGGCGCTGGATGTACCTGTAAGAGTTACACTTAGATTAACTTCGACCTAACAATAACCACTCTTACAAAACTTCTTCACCGCTTATGGCCTTAATCGTACTCTGCCTAACGTGCAAGTACTAACAAACGGAATCAAGGTTAAAAGACTTGAGATGGCAAACGTCACTGGAACAGAATTGTATTTACACAAAAGAGATATAGAATTTGATAAGAAATAAAAGGTACACACTTATCTGCAGGTGAGACGGCGGTAAGCTCAGAGAGTGCGCTAGGTGAAAGCACAGTGAGGGAGCGAACCCGAAACCGTACAGGAGGTTCAGGAATACAAAGTGGAAGTGGTGGTTAAAGGTCAGGCTGAGTTCATACAAACAAAAGTTCAAAGGTACAATGTACACTACATACCCTATGACCCCAGGGAGACTATTACGTGAAACTGAGTTCTTCGTTTCAGACAATCTACGGGATATTCCAAATTAAATTATAAAATAACTGACGCCCCTTTGCGTAACAGGTAACTCTCGTGGTCCAAGTGGTCTAGTTAGCAACGTTTCGGCATTTGAAACTAATGGTGGTTGGTTTGAGCCTCAGTGAGGAGAACATCAGCACTGACTGGGGAATGTAGGTACATCTACTTGGTGAGCAGTCTCAATTAATGTTGCAATTGTTGTTTGAAACTTAAAAATACAACATTTCATTTACCCTTCTATTGAATAAAAATAGTCAAGAATGGCTTGTGAAATTTCTTAGTGAATCTTTACTTCAACTGTATGATTGTCTAACGGTCACACTGTTTTTGACTAAAATACATTTCCATAGTGTTTCGTTAATGAGTAAAGTGATCTTCATGCTTTTGTCATGAATATTTCAATATAAGTTCATTTCATGCTAAAACTAGCGCTGAAGGTGCTGTCTAGAGGGTGGACATCAAAAGCTACGCAATTAAATCAACCATCTCAGATAGAGAACACAACCAAATCGAATTTATGATGCTTAGCTACAAATCTTCTACATTATTTCACATAAACATGTATTTTTACCAGACTGTTTACCAGTTTTTGTTGAGGAACTATATTTTTTCAAAACGAAAACTGTATATGTCTTTACTCAAATTGACTCACTTGTGTTTTTAAGTGATTTTAATCTAAATTTACCAATATTTTGTCTCTGATGCTTTCAAATTTTCGTGTCATTTCCAGCATTTTAGAACTGTTGTTCAGTTAATCTGATATTTCACAATCAAATACTGTTATTGGCACCTAATTAAAAAATACTACATTTACTTTACAGTGCAGTACTCTTTGTTTTTCCCTCACCTAACTCATGGCCTTGAAATCTTATTGGCTGTTGACTGTTTTAATTCACCACTGTGATTGGTGTCTATCAAGGTCATTCAATATATATATATATATATATATATATATATATACAGGCGCTGTCAACCATTCACGAGACAGTAAAAGCTCTTTACATCAGCGGTGTGTCTTCTTGCTTTGTGGGTTCGATGGTATCTTATCATTCCGTTCTTGTTGTTGATGTTGTTGCCAATAGTGATTAGAACAGTAGGCTTGCGAATCGACTAGGTAGAAAATTCGTTAGCGCAAACTTTCAAGTGTATTAATGGTCATGTCATATACAGAAGCATAAATATTTGCTGACAATGTCTAGACGTAAGATTTGATGTACAGGGGAACAATATTTGAAATATTTCTGATATCATCAAAGAAAGGATAACTAATAAGATGATACAAAATCGTGTACAAGTAAAGCGACTGTATTCAATGTTAATTACAAAAGCAGTTATAGACTTCTTTGAAACAATGGATTTTAACATCTTTGCAAAATATTTGGCTAAATGTTCTGAACAATTCAGGAAATTACAAATTTAAATTAGCAGATGGGGAAGAGTTAGTTGGGTTTATTCCAGTTTTTTCTAAAAGCTTTATGAGTGCTAAGGCCAATGTATTACATGTCAGTATCGTTTCGAACCATAGTATGAACATTAGAAGCGTCATTGAGCATTTTATTACGTATTGGCAGAATTGTACAGTGGCTATTATAGCCTAAAATTTTGAAAACAAAAAGAAATAATTACGTGTGAAACATCTCATCTAAATATAATTCAGTGGAATTGATATAAGAATAAAACTTAAGCCAGCAACGATTTCGGGCACATTGCAGACTTTTTGGGGCAGACTTCGGGCGCATTGCAGGTTTTTGGGGCATTTGTATGAGCGGTGATTGGCCAGAAATCAACCAATGGGAGTAACCCATATGTACTTCCTCAACCAATGACAGCTAACTTTTGGGGGCAGACTTAGGTTCAATTTCTCAAAATCTGCAATGCTCCAGAAGATTTTGCCTGAAAAAATCTGCAGTGCGCCCGAAAATAATGCTAGCTGGGTTGTGCACTGTGGTAGAGTATAATTCCTTTGTGGAGAAAATTTATTTTGATAAATTCTCACAGAGGGTTATACAGTAATATTTACTGATGACTACGTTTCGAGCACAATTTATTACTGCAGCTCATAATCATATCAAGTCACTCACACAACTTTCTAATGTAAGAGTTAGACTTGGCTTAACTAAGACCTAAATTAGCCACTCTTACAAAAACTTCTTCACCGCTTTATGACTTTAGTTGTATTCTGCCTAATGTGCAAATACTAACGAACTGAATCAAGGTAAAAAAGACTTGAGATGACTAGTGTGACTGGAACAGAGTTATATTTACACAAAAGCGTTATGAGATTTGATAAAAAAAAATAAGAGGTTATACACTTATCTGCAGTCGTGACGGTGGTAAGCTCAGAGAGTGTGCCGGATGAAAGCACAATGAGAGATCGAACCAAAACCGTACAGGAGATTCACGAATCGAAAGAGGAAGTGGTGCTAAAGGTCAGGTGAGTCCCTTCAAACAAAAGTTCGAAGGTTCAATGTACACTACACTAACTTCGTTTATAAAATTCCATTATTTTTCATCGCTTGATTGGACTGGTAGTAGTATTTTCTATATTTCCTGTATGAGAAATGAGTCATTCCTATTACATGTGTTGGATGTAGACTCGATGGACAAGGATTCAGCAATCAAACTCTATCTTCACCTAACTCTATTACTTTTTGGAATTTCAAACCTCACCCACTCTATTGTGTGGTTGTGTGTTAATGCGTGCAGTGTGAATGCTGGGCTTTTTTCTAAATTACCCATCTATCTTCTTGGGGTCAACCATTCTTACCATAGCCACTAAATTCTTATGTTCCGACAATCCGACTACGCCATATGTACTAGTTTCACCTATATAGTTGACCTCACAGTCATTGCAAGGTATTGTGTAAATTATATTATTTTGTTTAATTGGGTCCATAGGGTCTTTTAGCCTACAGAGTTTGTAGGTTTGAATGCCACCCTAATTTCGGCTTTATTGAGAATCCTTCATTGGGTTTCAGATGTCCCCTCCTTATATGGTATATCTGCAGGTAGATGCCTTATATTCTCTCTTATTTGTGCTATCGCTATTAGTTTCTCCATTATTTTTCCTTTTCTTTTGACCTTTTTGATATTCTTAATGAATTTTATAGGATAGTTATTTGATACAAACGCTTCTTCTATCTGTTTTATTTCATCGTTTAGGTCTTTTTTGTGCTACTTGTGCCCGGTTTGTCAGACAATTAACTAAGCCAGCCTTCACAGAGAGATGATGGATGAGATGAATTAAAGTCTAAATATCTATTAGCAAACGTGTTGGTTTTTTATAAACGCTAGTGTGCAGTTTACCTTATTCTATTCGTTTTTATTTTACAGTCTAACATAGTTAGCTAATTCTCCTTGTTCATTTTCCGATTCAAATGTGAATTTTATTCCCTCTACTAGTGGGTCTATATGTGTCAAGAAGCTGGCGAGAGACATGTTCTGTTTTTAACATTGTGAATGAAAGTGTCATCCACATATCTCCACCATATTTTTGGAGTAGGATTAGGTGTATTAAGACCAATATTTTCCCAGCTGTCCATAAAGATATCTGCTATGGTAGGGGATATAGGTGGAGAGAGAGGCTGATTACTGAATCCTTGTTCATCGAATAATCTACACCCAACACATGCAATAGGAATGACTCATCACTCACACCAGAAATATGGAAAATACTACTACCAATCAAATCAAGCGATGAAAAATAATGGAATTATAGAAACGAAGTCAGCAGGTTGTGTGAGTAGTGTCTTGATATGATTGTGAGCTACAGTAATAAATTGTGCCCGAAACGTGGTCATCAGTACATATTACTGTATGACACTGTGAGAATTTATCAAAATAAATTTTACCCTTAATGGAAGTAATTCAATGGAATAATTCATTACAAGACTGATTTGGTATGGAGAAATAAATTCATACAAGAATCACCTTTTATAAATTTGAGCAGAAAAACAATAAACATTGGTGCAGAATAAGATGGATCCATTTTATTCCATTGGTTTTCATCAGCTGCATACAACCTATAATATTTAATCAATCAAATTCAGCATGAAATCTAACATGCTTTTGTCTATCAACAAGCATATGTCACTGCCAAGTGTGTATACCAATTCACATGTATACTGCTGGGGCAGTTACATTGGAAGAACAGAAGGAACGGCCTACCTCAGATTCTTCGAACATGTACCAAGGAGCTTCCGGTTAAAAGGGCCGAGTAGTTTAAGCACTTCAATGACCAAAACACCTGATGGATACTAGACACCAGGTATACATGGTGGCATCATTCGAAATAACTGGCAGACAAAAATCGCTGCTCAAGTTTTCTTCGGTTTACTAAGGCTATCGCAATAGAACGGCTGAAACCTGACTTATTTGCCTAAGAGGAATCTGCCGCTGAACTTCAATTATCCTGGTGACTCTGTGTTTTCAACCCCTCACCCTAACTTCTGTTTGACTTCCACGAGAGATAATTCTTTTTGACCTTATGGTATTACATCGTCATCTTTTCATATGACCTCTTGCACACCAAATTTTGATCTTCTCTTATCTAACTACGTAATTGTTAATAAATTATTTGGTTATCACCCTGACAACAAACTTGTCAGTTGATTTTCGAGAAACTCTCTGTGACAATATACATTTATATATTTATACTGTGATACTTCAGCTACCTTGTGACCCTAATGTTTCATCTCACCACGACACTCTTATAATAGGCTTGTTGACAGACAGAAGTATGCTTTTGATTGGACACTAGTCAGTAACTAGTGTAATATATGTGTGTGTCTAGTCCTGTCTTTGGTGCAGACTGAATTGTATCAGTCAAGTTTGCAATGTGACCACCATGCCACTAGGCGGCTCGCTATGAAGGTGCACTGTGAATTGTTGAAAATAGATGGTTGAAGGAAATCGGCCACAGGAAGTCTCACCTGACCTAGGCTTCGTACTAGTTGGCATTTACCAGTCAGCAAGGCATATCTTCAACCTCGAAGGAACTCATATCCCTTCTGAGATTCGAACCCAAGTCACCACCCAGTGCTGCAGTCAGAAACGTTACCACTGAGCTATTCGGGTTAGCGGCTGGTTGTTGTTGCTGTTCGTCGGTTATCTTCATCACCTCCGTCTTCTTTGCACTTCCTGCTTCTTCAGCTAGTTTGTTGGTTTTCACCTGTAAGTCTTCGAGTTTGTGTGACATTCAACATACATCATCTACGAAACCCAGGTCTTCTAGAGTCTTCTTATCGGTCAATGAAGCGTATTTCTGTTTCCTCCCTCCCAACGCACAATCTGACACATAATCTAGTCCATCACAATTAAGAATGCCATCATCGGTGATAATAGGCAGCCGTGTTTTCATGTATTCCCTATGGATAGCAATAAACTGTAGCAAATAATATTTGTTCCCAAGTTATCCTATTCCTTCACTAGGATACCTGAACTGGTATTAGTTTGTTCAATGATATCAATGAACTAAATTAATGGTTGTTAATTATGACAGTGTTTTATGGAATGAAAGGTATTCGATGATCCATTGGTCAAATAACAAAGTATACCTTAACATATGAGTCCTCTTCTTGCACTAGAACAAGTCAGCTAATAATAATTATTGTGTTATTATTTCATTTGTTTCAATTTTGACCACGGATTGATACCAGTTAGAGAACCATTGAAAACTAGCACTGAAGTGCTAGACAGACTGTTGTTTCGTCAGCCTAGTTTATGACTCACCGGCTATATGAACCCAGCTTACCACCAGGGTTCGAATACAAGGCCTTCCAATTGCAAGGAAAGCTCATAGAACACTCAGCCACGGGAGCCGACTCAGTGGCCAATCCATGAATTCTAACTTCTACCAATTTGTGATTTTAAAGTGACTGACACCAGCCAATGTCATCGCTTTCGAGTATCTGTCGCCGATCCCGACCTACTGGTGAACCCCACTGTTCACGACTTCTCATCAGAAGTTCAAGCGATCCCCTAGTTTTAAATACTTCTCTAACTGGCATCCGTCTGTGATCAAACTTGAAAAAAATAAAATTCCTGCAAATTGACTCTTGAATATTATCTCATTCGTTTGTGTTCCCAATGGAACATAGGGCTTCAAGCTAGAGCTTCACAGTTTCAGTAGCAGTGCAATTATTTTTATGGGGGGGGGGTTGCTAGCTTCACGCCCAACCTTCCCTCTTTGTCGGGCTTACAGCCAACTAGGGATTGGACCCCGGACCAAGTGCATGGTTGGCAACCATTGTACTGTTGAAATAGCGACGTCTTAGAACAAGTCCAAACAGCAGAGGCTATTGTGATTCACCTAAAACAACCGGTGCTCTGTGTGCAGAAGAAACAGTTCCGGCTAGCCAGCCACTATTACTGCCTTGGCCAGCCTTCTGTAGAGCCTATAAATTCATGAATTCTGTATTATCATTATTGTTCCTAATTTGCCTGTCTAATATTCAGTGTAGTGCAGTGCTATGTTGATGCTATCGAACTGTAATCTATTGATATTATTATTATTGATTCGATGTTATCTAAACAACATTAATATTGACAATGAACCCAATGCATTCATGATTAGTATGGATGCGTATAACTGTATAAACTGATGAAGAACAGGTTATCGAAAAGAATATTCTGAGTTCAGTAGTAATCAGTCTCTTGATATTTCTAATCAAAACATTCCCAAGCCTCCAGGTCAGGTTGATTTAACCGACGGTAAACAGACTCCTTAAAACAGAATAATTTATGCGACAAATAGTAATTATATCTGAGAAGTGTTCATAGGGCTATCATATACAATATTTAGTGAATTCATTGGTCACGAATGGTAGTCAGGGAATGTGAAGTGATAAATAATCACTGAGATCAGCATTACTTGTGTACATAGTGAGTGAGTGATCGATGAGATTGGAAAACCTCAAAATATCTTAAAAATTAAGCTATTTGTGATTGAACTTACGAAAATTGACGCCAAAGTCCAAAATATGATAGGTAACAATAGAACAGGTAGCTGGTATAACAGAAATAAACCGGAATAACATTGTATTAGCAAAAATATCTACTAAAAATAACATAACTTCATATGAGTGACTAATTGCTTCAGATTATGAGACATCTTTTCAATAATGGGCTTGAGAATACCGTCGTAAGTGGTACAGTTTGACGAATTTCGTGTCGAATATTGCAAATGTGTTTCTTAAATCACTTTGTGTAACAGTTAAACAGTAAGTCATATTTCATAAGCTCGTCAGAGGAACAGCGTTAGGATACTCGCCAACCACGCTTGTGTCTCAAGGTTTGACCCAGAGCCAACATACTCCTAGGCTTCACTAAGCCGTTAATAAGACCAGTGAAAAGAGAAGGTTGGGAATGAGGCTAGAAACCCCACCCTGTAAAAATGAACACCACTGCTTCCGAAATTTCAAAGCTGCAGCTTGAAGTCCTGTGTTCCACCCGGAATGTAAAAGAATAGATAAATAATAATAATAATAGGTATAATAATAAATAGCTTGAAGACCCTCAGCCACCGAGTTAAAGCTATATGCTTAGAAGAAGTAAATGAAGATGAATTAAGCATTGTATATGATACTTTGATCGAAAATAGCTATCCCGAAAAAATTTATCAAGAAACACATGACAAAGAAAGCGGAAAAGAACTACTCACTATCCGTAAACAAGAAGCCACTTTATATACTACTAAAATTCAAGGGCGATATACCAAGCGAGATAATCACGAAGAAATTGAGAAAATCAGTTCAAAGAACTTTTAATGCTGGTAAACTACAAGTCTCATTTTCTGTGCAACCGATGGTGATTCCTCGATTGAAAGATGAAGTACCTAGACTAGCTAGCCACTTCCAATTGTATCGACCAATTCAACTGCGCTTGTGGGGAGAGTTATACTGGCCGTCGCTCTAGGAACTTGATTTTTTGTGCTCACTCGAGAACATCTCCCACTATGGCTAAGTAAAGGTGTAGTGAAAACCATTAACAGTTCGATATTGGACCATCTGGTGCAAACCGGCCACAAAACCAGCGTGGAAGAATCCTTCTCTATAATCTACCGAGTGCCTAATAAATTGCCAAAATCATCGAAGCACCGCATGCTCCAAACAGCAGAGGCTATTGCAATTCGCCTCAAACAACCAGTGCTCTGTGTTCAAAAGAAACAAGTCCAGGACCTACTGCTGCCCTGGCTGACCTTCAGTAGAGACTATAAATTCATGAATTTGTAATATTATCTTTCCTAATTTTTCTGACATTCAGTTTACTGTTATGTTGATGCTGTTGAGCTGTAATTCATTGGTATTATTGATTCGATGTTATTTAAACAACATTAATGTTGTTGTTAATAACACTAATTCATTCATTCACTAGAATGTATATATAACTGTAGAGCCTGATAATGAATTTATCGAAAAGAGTATTCTTTGTTCAGTATCCATTCTTTTGAAAATAATAAATTACATTTCACTTAAGTTTACAGAAAGCACGTTCAATTCATATCTAATAGTGATACATAGAATTCAAAACTGGTTATTTCCACAAGATGTAGCTTTCATGACCTAAGTGGTTTAGTGGACAACACTTTGGCTTCTGAAATGATGGATAATGGGTTTGAGTCCCAGTAGAAACGCAATCACTGACTCACTCAGTGGAGGTACTGCAGGTACATCCAGATGATGAGTTGGTCCTGAATGGGACGAAATCCACGTTATCCTGGCTTTCGCTGATAGTCACCATCCATCAATTCACTTGAAGTTTATTGTTCCTTGCTCAATGAGATCAGATGAGGATTCACTGTTGACTTCTTAATAAAGTCTACTTGAATCAATAAATTTCACCAGTATAGCAGCAGAATACACTTGATAGCGTAGCATCAAAATCAGAAGCTCACACATAGTGACTTGTTGGTTTTCTACAGCATGAATTTATGCAACGGAAGGATCAACTTTAAAAAGTATTTTATTCCTTTACGTTCCAAGTGGAACATCACAGGGCTTCAAGCTAGAGGTTTCAACTTTCGGCAGCACTGGCTTTGCTTATACGGAGTGAGGTTGCTATCCTCATGTCGAACCTTCCATCTTTACTGGTGTTATTACCGGATTAGTGAGGTCTAAGAGTGCGTCGACCAGGCACCGAATCCCATACGGGACCACTTCCGTGATTGGCGAACATTCTATCGCCAAACCACTGACGCCAGTGTACTAATTAACACTAAAGTATCATTCAGAAAGCTGAGATCCCCATTTTATTCAAGTAATCAACGTTTTCACTTCACACTTGTTTACAGTTGTTCCTGTCCAGTGGTTAAATGATGAAACAAGCTTGTTTTGTAGAATGAAAGTGCTGGGTTAATCTATCTACCTCCAGTGAGATCGGCACTGCACACCTTTAAAAAAGTCCACTATTCGTCGGGTTCCAGCGTTTCTCTAACTGATGTCACTTTGGGTACAGGATTTCATCATTCACTAACATCTGTTAGAGAAACATTGAGAAACCAGCTTAGAGTACTGGACAGCTGTTTTGTCGGACTAGGTTGGGACTTTCCAGCAGTACGCACCCACCCCACTGCCAGGGTTCGAACCCAGGACCTTCCGGTTAAAAGGCGAACTAGCTCGTAGACCATGAATTCCAACTTCTGCCAATTCACGACATAACGTGACCGCTAGCCGATCTCTTTGAAGAGTATTTATCCTTACACCCGACCTACTGCACGCTACTGGTCACAACTTCCCTTTGGAACCCCAGGTAATGACCTATTTGATAGAACCAGTCGCTGGTGAGCATCTCATTGATTTTCAAGTAGTCGCTTGTCAGTTTACTGATGAAATCTATACAGAAAAACAAATTTTACTCAGAAATATAGAGAAATTGTTAAGAAATTTCTTATTGAAAATCACTTACCACTGGGGTATTAACGATAAAAGAGGCTACACCTGCTACGATAAACACTAACGAGAGTACAGAAAACGTGATCAGCGCTGATGCTTTCATTTTTCTTAACCTTAAACTCACAAGTATTACTATTAGCAGCACTGCAGTTGCTGGACCAAGTAACATTAAAAGATACTTCCATGGAAGTTGTGCAAAGATTGAAGATGTACCAAAAGTCCACAGGATCACCTGTATCCAATGCAATGTAAAGATAGCAGTGTGAATGAATGGTTGGTTTGCTTAACAATAACAATGAAATCAATTTCAAGGAAATGTTTCATGATGAAATTCCCAATAACAAGTTGACCAAGACTCATTGTGCAGAAAGTTTATTTAGATAAAGTCTCACAGTGTGGCTATACAGTATTATTTACTGAAGACCACATTTCGAGAACAACTTATTACTACTCATAGTCATATCAAAGCACTGCTCACACAACTTTCCAACTTTGTTTAAATAATCCCCTTATTTCTCATCTCTTGATTTGATTGGTAGTAGTATTTCCCATATCTCTGCCATACTAACGAGGGGTCAACGAACAAGGATTCAGTAATCAACCTGTCTCTCCACCTACCTATATTACTTTTCAGAATTTTAACTCTGTCCCAACCTGGTGTATGGTTGTGTGTTAATGTGTGCATTGCAAGTGCTGAGCGTGTTTTTGAATTACTTACCTTCTCAGGATCAGTCATTCTTGCCTTAGCTAAATTCTTATGTTCTGACAGTCTTAATGTCAGTAAAAACGTTAGAGCCATGTAGATTAGATCAGATAAATTATAATTATATTTTAATAATTGAATAATTCACATTGTTGCATTAAGAACACAATATTCAGCGAAGGGACTCTTTTCAACGAATTTATTATCAAACTGTACAATCGTATGTATATATGGGTTTCTATATTAAGAAATTATATCCGGTGAGGAAATTGAATCATAGGTGTGAATACATGAAATAATAATAACATATTTGTGATTATAATCATAGTTTAATGTCAAGTGGCAAAATAATTAATATCGTATATAGAATAATACATAAGGTGTAGAGATGTTGGAAAGGAGTACATAATTATAGGATTATTAGACGAATATAAAATGTTACATAAGATGGTGTAAAATTTGATAAGGTAGAATTCAGTATTGTAAAAATAAAATAAAAAATATAAAAATTAATAATTTTGGGTTTAAAATGACGAGTGGGTCAAGTGGAGAAGATTCAGAGTGAGAATAGTAATAATAATAATGATAATAATAATAATCGTAGTAATAAGGGAAAAGTACATAGAATAACTAAATAAACAAAATAAATAAATGTCTATCACTCTACGGCCAAGGCAGAAGTAGGGACTGTACATACTTTTTTTGTACACAAAGGTCTGGCTTAAAGTCATGAATTGCCCCTTTCCAAAATCTATACACCTTATGTATTATTCTATATATGACACTAATTATTTTGCCACTTGACATTAAACTATGATTATAATCACAAATATGTTATTATTATTTCATGTATTCACACCTATGATTCAATTTCCTCACCGGATATAATTTCTTAAAAACCATATATATGCCATTGAACAGCTTGGTAATAAATTCGTTGAAAAGAGTCTCTTCGCTGAATATTGTGTTCTTTATATTTTAATAGTTTACGCACTGCAATAGGTTTTTGTTTTTGGTAAAATTTCGAGCAAAATTACTGTCCATGATCACACCAACTGTTGGAATTGTTTTGTTTCTAATTCACACTTATGATCTGTACTCATATATACATAGTTTGTTTTTTGTCCGTTCATTTTTGGGTATCCAGAATTATATTCCAGGTTGTTGACAGTTGTACAGTTGAGTCACCCTTGTTCCATGTATCCGGTGTGACTTTATTATTATTATATTATTATTGTAACTTTTAATTCCTAGAGGAACATAGGGCTTCAGCCGTGCGTCTCCATTACGTTCAGTTCTCTGCTAGAGTCTTCACCTGGCTCCATGTCTGCTCACACGTTTTTATCTCCTCTTCACATGACCTCCTCCAAGTCACCCTTGCACTAACGACCAACTCACCGCTTCCCGTTCGGGTTCCACTCGAGCAATGGCTTGTCTAGTGATGTCACTTGATGGTTTGTTTTCTCAGAGTATGGCCAATCCATCTCTATTTCTTCCTGCCTATTTGTTTCACAATCGGTTCCTGCTGAGTTGGTTCGCTCCCAGAGATCCGTGTTGCTGATCTTTTCTGGCCATCTGATCTTGAGTATTGAGCGAAGACAACTGTTAATGAAGGTCTGTAGTTTGTTTGAGGTGCTCTTTATGACGCGCAGTGCAAGTCTCTGATCCGTATAGTAGCACCGACTTCACATTGAAGTTGAAAATCTGGATCTTTTTTTCATTTTCATGCTAAGTAGTGCTGTTGACCTCCACACAGACTTGAGAGTAGTGAAAGCTTGTTTTGCTTTGATATCCTCGTCAGTTCTGTCGGCCTGTAGTTGAAACGATGCTTCAAAGGTAGGTAAAGGAGGTTGTTTCTTTCAGGTTCCTTCCATCTATGCTGATTGTTGTCTATTGTTGTTGCTGTTGGTGGTGTTGCCCAGGAATCTTCATCACCTCTGTTTTCTCTATGTTCACCTGAAGTCCTATCTTCTCTGGATGCTTCTTCTGCTAACTTGTTGCTTTTCGCTCGCATATCTTCCAGTTTGTGGGAAATCAGACATATATCATCGGCGAAGTCTAGATTCTCCAAGTTTTTTGTGTGAGTCCCTTTTTTGCCTGTTTGTTGCATTATCCAATCTACTGCAATCAGGAAAATCATTGGCGATAGTAGGCAGCCTTGTCTTACTCCTGTCCTTACTTCGAAGGGTTCCGTATGTTTCTCATTGTGGATTACTTGGCATGCAGCATTGTCGTACAGCTGTTGGATGAGATGTATAATTGTCGGTGGCACACCGTAGTAGCGAAGAAGTTTCCAAATCACCTCTCGATCAACGCTGTCAAAGGCCTTTTCAAAGTCGATGAATTTGAGATAGAGAGGTGACTGCTATTCCAAGCTTTGTTCAATGATGATCCGTAATGTGGCGATCTGATCAATGCATGACTTGCTTCTCCTGAATCCAGCCTGTTCCGGTCGAATTTTTTCATCCAGGGTTTGTTTGATTCTCTCTAGGATGATGCGGCTTAGTATTTTGCTTGGGATGGAGAGGAGCATAATTCCGCGCCAGTGCTTGCATTGACTTAAGTCTTCTTTCTTTGGTAGTTTGAATGAGTATCCTTTCTTCCAATCCTCGGGTACTTTGCCTTCTTTCCACACCTTCTCCAGTAGTGGCGTCATCAAGTCCGCTGTTGTCTCTGGGTCCATTTTCAATGCTTCTGCTGGGATTCCATCTGGTCCTGTTACTTTGCCAGCTTTTAGCATCTTGATAGCCTTCAGGACTTCTGATTTCGTCGGGGGGTTGGTGTTCACTGGTAGCACTGGAACGACTTGAAAACAGTAACATTTCATAATTTCAGGAAAATCCTCAGTCTGTATGAGCATGGAAATAAATCTGTCACACAGAAGTGATTTTGAATATGTATAAAAATGGATTCACATTTTTAAACGTTTTAAAGCACTGATTACTTAATTTTCCAACAAAACTAATGTGTAAAGTACAATTTAAGTAATGGAGCAGCAGTTCTCCTTGATAAAAAGGTAAAATGCATAACTTTTTACTTACTAACAGCATGATAACAACGATATTCACTGGATAACTCGTCCGCAACGAATCAAACAATATGAAGATCATAGAGAGAATGACAGCGGCAATACTAAAACAAGTGATTTTAAAATATAAAAAAATTTAAATTTCTAACTGTATATAATGAAAGCAAAATGTACATAAGATCTTCATACACATTTATTCTCCTTAATGCGGGCTGATGAAGTGTCCCAAACTAAGACGAAACAGCTGTCCAGTACTCCCAGATGGTTTCCCATTGGTTCTCTAACTGATGTCAACTCATGATGAAATCCTCCATCCAATCAGACAAAATCCCTACAAAACCAATACTTGAGAATATGAATAAAGCAAAAACAACGGTGGTTTGTATTGAATAAAATGGTACCGCCATTGTTTATTTCGTTGGCTTCTCATCAGCTGCTTACAGGCCAAAGTCATTATTAACATTTTAACGTACTTACCCATACAGAGTTCATTTTTAAACAAAAATCAATCAATATATGCACACAATAATAATATGTATAGTAATAATAAACACTTTATTCCGAAAGATAATGACTATACCCAATGGAAACATTTTTGCATTACGTATTCAGATGAATATATCCAGTTACCAGTCCAAGGAAAGACTGATAACCGCTTCTTTCTGAACGCATGAATCAGGCATCAGGCGCTTGATGGAAATAGCTTCAGCAAACTGGAGGAGAATTGAACTCTTTAGCCTATCGGTAATTTTGAACGATCTTCCGACGTCCACCTCATGATCCTTATCAAGGAGATGCTTGGTGATGGCACTGTTTAAAGCATTTGTTGCGTTTAGACATAAACCTTTTGGTACATGTTCAGAAAATTGGAAGTATGCTCTTCTTTTTGTTCTTCCAATGTAACTGCTCCCTCAGACACATGTAAATTTGTACATACAGTTGGAATTAACATTGAGAAGGGTATCTGTAGACTTTTGATTGCACTGAAGAGCATGTTGTCCTATAAATGGAAATTGACTTAGCTGCAGGATAGGTTCTTGCTAGTGATATTTTCAATCTTCTGTTGACAATTGCTGTAATATTTTCACCTTTAAAATCAAGTTGAATGAAGATGAGCTTTTTTCCCACTGTGATTTGTTTGGCATTTGAGACTTTAGATCTTCTGTACTTGTTCATGAATCTTTGAGGGTAACCGTTGTTTTTCAACATCTTTTCGAGAATCATAAATTCTTCCTCTTACTTTTCTGTAGAGCATATTCTCCTCGCTTTATAGTACAAAGTCTTGACTAGTACTGGTTTAAAGCTATTTAGATAAAAAATATTAAAATATAGGTATTGTCCTTTCCACATGGGCTTTCGGTAAATTTATCTCTGTGCAAGTATGTTAAAATTGCTTATGTAGATATACTTAATAATGACTTTGGGCCGTAAGCAGCTGATGAGAACAATGGTACCATTTTATTCTGCACAAACCACTGTTGTTGTTCTTGCTTAATAAATATTATGTCAAAATTTTGAGTTAATTGAATTCAGGGACAAGAGGTTTACTTTCGGTATTCAGCGTCAATGCACACATAAACGATAGGTCAGTTAGCTATGCTCAAATAAATAGAATTGTGGTGATCAGTGCACATATGGAAGACAGGGTCTCTTGTACACTATGAATTCATTACCGGCATATTAATGGATTAAGTTCTTTAAAAGAATGAAGCTGCTAATACTGTTGTTCTCAAGTGACAAACAAATGAAATCACTGAATAATTCACCCTATGCGGGTTAATTTTTATAAAAATGAACTGGCTGTGGGTACGTAATGCCAATGAACGCCAAACTAGGCTGGCGAAACAGACGGATGTCCAGTGCTCGGATGGTGGTTTTCAATGGTTCTCTAGTTGATATTTATCCGTGATCAAATTTGGAAAACAAACCAAATCTTTGCAAACAAACTTTTGAAAACCCAAATCCTTTTAGATGATGTGATACATGAATTCAGCAAAATCTTTAGTGTGTTCAGTCAACAACTGCATTGTCTTTGTCGAACAACAATAATAATAGCTTTATTCTGGAAAAAGTGTTTGTACAGTGTACGGAATTCTCACAGTTATTTATTACACAGTATTTTCTCCTCATTCAGGATCTTCATTTAGTATATCGTGTGACGCAATACTGTTCAATCTAAAGCATAGACCAGTCCTTGATGATATTTTTCTTTCATCTCCATGACATGTGCACTAATATTTTGAATGCCAATTAAAAATGTGTGTGAGTATGACTTGCGACTCAAGAACATGATTGCATGATTAAAAGAATGAGAGTTAGAGAAAATATGACGCCAATATTGCAAAAGGTTTGGAAGGAAGAACAGATGTCTACTGATTAGAAAAAAGTCTTGCTGTCTTGTCAAACTAATAAAGAAGGACAGCTGAGGCCTCTGCAATAACTAGCGCCGAATCATGCTTCCGTTTATCCTCTCCAAGTAAAACACTAAGTCGCGTCATCTTGGAGAGAATAAAACATTCACTGGATGCAGAACTCCGACATCCGGAACAACCTAGATTCAGGAAAGGTGAATCATGTGCTGATCAAAGTGCAACTCCACGCATCGTCATCGAAAAAAGTATGGAATCGCGGTCTAACCTCTTATTCAATTTCATCGATTTTGGGAAGGCCTTCAACTGCGTTGACAGTGGAGTAATTTGGAAATTGCTTCAACATTACGGCGCGCAGTATCCTAAGTCTTTGTCAACCTCATTCAACAACTGCCTATATGACAATAGCACGTATCAGGTGATTCACAACGGAAAATTCAACATGGCGTTTGAAGTGAATACAGAAGTAAGACAATGTTGTCTATTATCACCAGTGACATTCTTAATTGTGATGAACTGGATTATGAAGTGCAGCGAAGACAAGAATTCAAGTGAACATAGAGAAGAAGGATGTGACGAAGATACCAAAACCAGCACCAGTCATTATCAGCCTAAGAGATTTGAGAGACATTGCTTCCTTATAATAAAGGTTTTTGTATTTCCCAATGAATGAAAAACAAAACGATATTGTTCTGTTTACTGACGTTTCGCTATTTAATGCGGCGGCTAATAACTTTATCAAAGTATTATTAAACCAGAATTTACAAAATCCACTCAGTTTATATATAACAAATAGTTAAGGGGTGAGAAAATAGACTTAGTTCAAGAAAAATCATCAGCCATAGGTCTACATGCTATAGAATCAAGTCGCAAAATTGACTTTGACACTGTTGAAATAATCCAGAAAAACTTCAGAAATCATAAAGAACGTCTATAATATCAGAAGCACTTCACATCAAGTCGAATCCAAATTGTCTGAATAGGAATGATGGACTGAGACAGAATCTGACCTGGTTACAACACCTCCTTCCCCCATGAAGTGACAAAATCAACACGAATGTGATAAGCAAGTTCACTGTGTAAGCACACACTGCTTTTATAATTTTACACTCTGATCAAATCCAACAATGTACACTTGGTTTTGTTATACTTACCAATTGACCAACTTGACAACAGAAAATGCCTCCAGACTGACGAACGATGATCAAGTTAGTAATCCTTATTTTGATACCATAACAGATGTACTATTACCTTTGTTATTTGGTTTAGTGATCTTCATTGTTATTTTGACTTTCAATATGTCCTTTCAACTTGACCTAAGTCTATTTTCTCACCCCTTAACTCTTTGTTTTATATATGCTGAGATTTTATAAATTCCGGTTTAATAATACTTTGATAAAGCTTATTAGCATTAAATTACGAAACATCAGTAAAAGCAACAATATCGTTTTGTTTTTCATTCATTGGGAAATACAAAAACCTTTATGATAATGAATATAATATACCCAATGCCCAAATTTTTTCAAACTGTTAAAAGTGAACTTGGTTTGGACATATATAACGTTGCTTCCTTCACTAAGATAAGAACCGTGGTTTCACTTACAGGCGGATTGCATGAATGGAGACGTCAAAACCAGTCAGGATCGGAAAGGCATCAGCCTGAAACCAGTTCGGAAATATTCTGCACTCAGTCAGAATAAAGAACAGGATCCGGATTTTCAACACAAATGTCAAGCCAGTCACAGTCGGTTCCTCTATATGGGTCAGAAACCTATACTGCGTATGAGTCACGAAAAGCATTTCGAACAGGCCATTGCAGACTGTTATCAACAGCTAGCTTCGGCGGCTCCACAGTAAAGATCCCCTAACTAAGCAGAAAGAATTAATAATAAGATTTATCAGTAGTATATAAAATGACGTTCATCAGCACAAAAATGTCAAATAGCGGAGAAATAGATTTAACGCCAAAGTAAATAAATTAACCAATATTGCGGAAAAACATAGGAAACACCAAAATAAAAGACAAAGAAACACAATAAGAAGGGCATAAGTAGCACAACAAGGAAAATCTACGCAAATATTGATTTTCATATAAGATGTACACATAATTCCCCTGAATAGAGATTTCAAATTTCAAATAAACATTCCGTTACGAAGTCTCTTGTCTTACACCATTACAGTATGTGTTAAGATGCAATCATTATATCTTATTAGTGTGTTTTACGAGTTGATCACGGATTGATATCAGTTAGAGAACCATTGAAAACCAGGGAGTACTGGACAGTTGCTGTTTCATCCTAGTTTGGGAATCATCGGCAGTACGTACCCACTGGGATTCAAACCCAGGACCAAGAATGGTATACGAGCTATACAATTCAATGGCCAGTCCATGAATTTTAACTTCTACCGATTTGTGATTTAGCGCGAACCCAACTATTGTCGTTGGTGGGACATCCATCCACACACGTGACTTCTAATTGGACCTCACTGGTCACGACTTCTCACTAGAACTCCAGGAAGCTCCAACCTGTAGCAAGTCACTAGCGAGCATCAGAATAATTTTCTATAGTTTGGTTTGTAAGGATTAGTTATGTTTTATGAGTGAGGTCCAATTAGAAGTCACGTGTGTGGATGGATGTCCCACCAACGACAATAGTTGGGGTCGTGCTAAAATCACGAATTGGTAGAAGTTAGAATTCATGGGTTGGCCATTGAATCGGGTCCCAGTGGCTGAATGGTATACGAGCTTGCCTTGTAACCGGAATGTCCTGGGTTCGAATCCCAGTAGGTGCGTACTGCCGATGATTCCCAAGCTAGGAAGAAACAGCAGCCGGCCAGTACTCCTTGGTTTTCAATGGTTCTCTAACTGATATCAATCCGTGATCAACTCGTAAAACATAACTAATCCTTACAAACCAAACTATAGAAAATTATTAGTATGTGTCAAAGAAATTCAAGAGGTTACTGAAACAGGAGAATAGTTTAAGCATCACTATGCTGTTAAAATTTATACACAAAACTATATTTTTTCTGCACACCTTTGTCATATAAAATTCAAATGCCTCTCACATACATTTAAGAAAAAATTACTTACCAACAGATTTCTCCTGATGTGATAACAAATTCCTGCCAGCTACCAGGTTTAACAATATCTGGGTTTCTGGAGAGAAAAAAATTAGAAAAACTCATATGGCAACCTACTCTTTTGTACCCGTCTCAGCCATATTCATGAATGACAGCACTACTTATATACCATCCACTCAAAAACCAATGGTGAGTTTGTACAGCGGGTTAATGGAACTACGCACCACAAGTTCACAAGACACTAATGAATTGTATGAACGAAAGGAAATTAATTCTAAAAGAGTAAAATATATGACGCATTAATTATTTTAAATCATGACTGCAGAGTGAACTAACCAGCTTCAAACAAAATTTCAAAACAACAACTCATTTTATTTAATTGAATTTCAGATTTTCCCATCGATTTATTGATTGGACCGAAGTGCTCGGTCTCAATTTGACATGCCGGCTTCTTGTGCAGATGCTTCGACGATGTCTGAGCATGTTATTAGAATTTAATTGGTGACTAGCAGTGGAATCCAGGACAACGCACATTTCGTCCTATTTGGGACTGACTCGCCATCTGGATGTACTCGGTGCACAAGAGGTGGTTCTTGGGGCCTAAGTGGTCTAGTGGATAATGCTTTGGCGTTTGAGGCTATGGTCACTGGATTCCAGACTCGGTGGGGACATCATCACTGACCCACTGGGGAATGCAGGTACATGCAGATGACGAGTCTTAAATAGGACGAAATGCGCGTTATCCTGTATTCTACTGCTAGTCACCATCCACCAATTAAATTCAAACAACTCATTTTATTCAAAAATATCAGAATTTTCAGAAGGATGACTACTGAACAAAGAATATGCTTTTCGATAACTTCTTCATCAAGTGGACGGGGTAGCGATGGGTTCCTCACTGGGTTCCATGTCGGCAGATTTCTTTCTAAGCAAGAAACTAGAAAATGGTCCTATAAAAACAACATTATCAGAAAATTCTTATTTTATTGCCTATATATGGATGACACCTTTATTCCTTGGGATAATGATTCAGACAGGAACACAAGAATGACTCGATTCAATGAAGTACATATACTGCATTATCAATTTCACGTGTGAAGAGGAATCCCAAAATAAAATTGCCTTCTTATATGTCCCTCTTAGTATTTTTAATATATAGAATCACCAACAAGAAACTATGGGAACAAACAAAACATGAACCAATCGATCAACAAATATGCAGGAGAAAGTGGGGATTGATTGGACACTCGCTGAGAAGACTGCTGAGTGACATCGCGCGTCAGGCCCTCGAGTGGAACTCGAAATGGAAGCGGCGAGTGGAACATCTAAGGGTGACATGGAGAAGATCGTGTGAAGAGGAGTTGAAACAGTATAGACTAACATGGATGCAGGTGAAAAGTACAGCAGAAGAGAGAAGCAAGTGGAGACGTGCAGTTGAAGCCCTATGTTCCACTAGGAACCCAAGGAAACATTAATAATACAATAATAATAATGTCCCTCTTACAAGAAAACCGGATGGTAGCAAAAAAAGAAATTTGCATAGAAATAGAACTTGGACAGCACAATATACACATTTTCACAGCTTCTTTCCTATCAAGTACACAAGAAACTTAGTAAAGACCCTCAGCCACAGAGTTAGAGCTATATACTCAGAAAAGGTAATTGAAGATGAACTAAGGATAGTTTATGACACCTTAATTGAAAATAGCTGTCCAGAAAAGTTCATGAGGAAACACATGATTAAGAAAGGAGAAAAGGACTATTCTCTATCTGTAAATAAGAAACCTTTATATATACGACTGAAATTCAAGGGTGACACACCTAGTGAAATAATTGCTAACAAGTTAAGAAAATCAGTTCAGTGAACTTTTAATGCTGACAAACTACAAGTTATATTTTCTACACGACCGACGGTGATTCCTCGATTGAAAGACGAAGTGTAACAACATAAGACAAGGGCCAGGCGACAGAACGTTTATTACGGAAAATCAACACGTATTTATAGATTTTGATGTACAATATTGTAGGTTAATGTTAGTAGAAAATACAGTCTGTTGATTGGTTGTTTCTCACACAAAGTTAACCTTGCATCTCTTGTTGCTGTGTCAATTCATCTATATGTTAACTGTATCCGCCTGTCCACCTTGACCTTTGACCTCAATTACTGTCAAACAATTTGGCTAGCAACCATCTCTCACCACAGAAGTACCTTGACTAGCCACTTCCAGTTGTATCTACCAATTCAACTGAGCTTGTTGTGGAACGAGTTATATTGGCCGTTCCTCTGAGAACTTGACTTTTCGTGATCGCTCGGGAACATCTACCAGTGTGGTGTAGCTAAGTAAAGATGTAGTAAAAACCATCAGCAATTAGATATTAGTCCACCTGATCCAAAGCAACTGGTCACAAAGCTAGAACTGAAGAATCCTTCCCTATCATCTATCGGATACCAAATAAACTGCTGAAAGCATCCAAGTACCGAATACTCCAGACAGCAGTGGCCTAAAACAACCCGTGGTCTGTGTGAAGAAGAAACAGGACCAGCTAGCCAGCCTTCTGTGGAGCCTATAAATTCATGGATTCTGTATTATAATCTTTTCTGTTTTACCTCTCTGATATTCATTGTATTAATTTTGATATAACTAGTCTTTACACTACTGTGACAGTCAATATGGCCTTAGAAGCGGTTGAAGGAGAATTAACTGCTGATCCCGAACTTAGTCGCAGGATAAAGCTGCTCATTGAAAATATTATTATTTTAGGAATTCAGTTATCACTCACATCTACTGTGTTCAAATTTCAGGGCAAAACATATAGACAAACAGACGGTGTAGCGATTGGGATTATAAATATCCTCTATCGTAGCAGATATCTTTATGGATAGCTGGGAAAAGACTGCTCTCAGTACATTTAATCTTACTTCAAAAATATGGTTGAGATATGTGGATGACACTTCCACTCACAATGTAAGAAATAGAACATATCTCTAGCTTCTTGATGCATATAAACTCACTAGTAAAGGGAATTTAATTCACATTTGAGTTGGCGAATAAACAAGGAGAATTAGCTATGTTAGACTGTAAAATAAAACGAACAGAAAAAGGTAATAGATATTTAGACTTTAATTCATCTCATCCGTTGCCTGTACGTGAAGACAGGCTTAGTCAAGTGTCTAACAAACCGAACAATGGCACTTAGTAGTACAAGAAAAGACCTAAATGATGAAATGAAACAGATAGAAGAAGCTTTGGTATCAAATAACTAACTATCCTATAAAATTCGTCAGGAAGATCAGAAGACATCAACAGCAAAATAAAAATAATTGTGAAACTACTAATGATAACATAAATAAGAGAGAATATATGTCATCTACTGTTTTGCTATATAAGGAGGGGACATCTGAAGGCCTACGTAGGATTCTGAATAAAGTAGGAATTAGAGTGGTGACATTCAAACCTACAGACTCGCTCAGGCAGGAAATGCTCTGTAGGCTAAGGGACCCAATTAAACAAATTAATATAATTTGCAAAATACCTTCAATGACTGTGAGTTAGGTGAACTACGTAGAGGAAACTAGTAGCTCCGGGGTAGACAGATTTTCGGAACATAAGAATTTAAATAAAGAGTACTGCTAGTCGATATATATGGAAACAATTTCCAAGTATTCGTATCACTCAGTAGGGTATGCATACCACTTTACAATTTCACTTGGCTTCTTGAGTCATTTCTATGAAATAAAATAAATGGTGTTCAACGAAGAGTTACTCCTCTTTTCGGTGACGTCATTCTCAAGCTGTACAATAACGCATATATACCGTAAACTTTCTCAGCAACAAAAGGAATATTTATAAAGATGTGTTATTAGAACTGTAAATTTCAAATAACAAATTACGTAACGTAGAAAGCGTTAATCGGCTAGAGACTAAGATAGAAATTTGAAGGGTAAATTGAGTGACGTAATATAACCGATGGGTTGAGTAGAATTCAAATAAAATCCGAACGAGAATAAAATTAACAATTCACCTGCTCATGTGCAGCTAGGTAGTCGGCCGCACCCAGCGTTTGCTATCCAAACGTATTGTCAAACACAATCACATTCATGGTTTTATAAAGGAGAAAATTATATATCTCCGTCAGAGGTCTATCCTGCAATACGTGATTGAATCTAAACACCAAGCTAACCCATAAACGAACTTCAAAGTTATCTACAGAATACGTGGGAATGTCACTTAAAGAGTACGACGAATCAAACTTCTTTAAATAGGACAAAAGCAATGGTGGCAATTCACATGGTGAATCCTCAAATCTACATAAAAAAGGAGTTTTTTGAGTCACTAAATCTATAATGAACCTAATTCATCTTACCACCAAATACGTAATTTTTGATTTCGTCTCTTAATTGGTTTACTTTCTTTACCCACCGCTTGTTAAGCCTTTACCCTTTAATACCCCTATCGCTAACGTGATTATTGTTCGAGTTTTAGTTGAATTCTACTTAACCTCATCAATTGTATAACATCACTCAGTTTACTCATCTAATTTTATTTTAGTTTCTACACGATTAACGCTTTCTACGTTGACTAATTTATTATCTAAAATTTTCCATTCCTTTTGATTCTGATAGAGTTTACTGTATATATGTACCATTGTAAAGCTTGAGAATGATGTCACCGAGAAGAGTAACTCTTCACTGAACACCTTTTCTTTAATATGACTCAGTTTATGATGTCAAGCAGGTCAAGGTTCTCCTCGAAGTAAATTTATCTTCTTAAGTAATTTTTATAAAGCAAACATTTTATAACTGAAATACTAGAGAGATGACAGCATTCGCTTTACTAACCAGACACAGTGCAATATATAGATGTTTGGGTGGGTCTATAGTTCAGCGGTAGAACGCTTGCCAAACATGCATGTTGTCCGGGGTCCAGTCAACGGCTGATCCACTCTAAGCCAACAGTAATTCCGGTAAGGAGGGGAAGGTCACCACCACCAAGAGATCGTAAAGCTCTAGCCTAAAGCCCTATTTTCCACTCCAAACGTAAAGAAATGAAATAAAAATAATGATAATAATTAGAGATGATTGTGAAACAAATTTGGTCCTGAAGTGTTTGTTTCTAAAACTCACAGCAGTTGCTAGTTATTTTGC